CTGAAGGCGTCCGAGATGCCGGAAGGCGCAGGCAAAGTCTATGTCCCAAAAGGACGGGTAATTTCCTATTTTGGTATCGCTTAGACGCGGGACCGAGTCCTTGGGTCGCGTACGCGTTCTGCGTGCCCTGTAAACCGATCGAGCCAGACGCCGTGAACTCCCTGGTACTGGGGAGCATGAAGACGAAGCTGGCGAGCGAGACGAGGGGAGATAATAGGACGAGGGGTGATATTTGAGGTATGGCCCCAATAATGGTCGACAGCGCGGTTTCCTGCAGGATAGGAACCGATATTGATGTCACGGACCCAATCATGGGGTCCTGAGCCGATGCGATAGTCGATAGCGTTGTCGAAAACATGATGGTCAAGTATCTTGAGGATCGGCTTTCGCTCGAGGATGAGATTAGCATGACGAGCTGAAGAGGCGATCCTGTTGTGAAGGGATATCACTCCGATGCGTAGAGCGGTACGTTCGGACTCAGACAAGTCGTGGAAGGAGTTGGAAGTGAGTGCTGGGTTGAGAGTGAACGTGGAGAATATCTGCGATAGCAGATGAGGAGAAATCCGAGCGGACAGAGGAATGGGGAGCCGCTTCCAGGTAGGACGAGCTGCATGAGGAGGAGGCGACACGATCTTCTTGCGAAGTTCGCGATTACGACGACGTCGTTCAGCACGCTTCTGGGAGCGGGACAGTGAAGCCGAGGGTGTATTCCAATCCGATGGTCCGATAGGAACAGTGCCAGAGATGTCAAAGGGATGTAGGCGATGATTCGAGCGTTGAGATCGCTCGAGCGGGTTGGAAAAGGTGTGTGGATCGTCTATAGACATGTCCATGTTGTCAGAATCGGAATTCGTGAGATCTATGACCTCGGGTGATGTGCCGGACGAAGAGGATCGATCGCGAGACTCCTGTAGTTGTCGCAGGAGATCGGTGATGTATGCGAGAGCCGTTCCAGGAGTAGGGGCTGGAACAACGGCGTTGCATGTAGCCTGCGTCGTCTCCCCCTCGTCAGGAGATTCGTCGGTCTCTGACGATGGATATCCGAGTTCTGTGTCGAAGTTATTAGCTGTATCCTTTGTATTACAATAATCGTACTGACCATCGAACGATTTGATGGAATCGTTGATGTCCAGCGAAGAGAGACTTGGTGAGGAGCCCAGCGATGCTAGAGAGAGGCCAGGTGGAGAGCCTGGAGTCGTAATGATAGAATAATTGTCGAAGGAAGGCGATATCGCCGGCGTCGTAACAAGTTTGATGCCGTGAGTATGAGAGATGGAAGAAGGAGTGTGTGGGGGGCTCCTTGGCTTTTGACTCTACCGTCGAAATGTTAGGCACGGTACCTACCCGTGCTAACCCTCTGTCCACTCAGTACCTAACAGTACGGACGGAGGGGTTAACTCCTTTCTACCAAAAGGAGGATATCTCGCTGCGAGACTATTCTACCGGAGCCCCCCCTCCAACTACTGCACAGTAGTACAAACCGCCCGCAAGGGCCGCGCAACCCCATGCGCAGGCGCTCCATATGAGCGCCAAACCAACCCGTCACCAGTGGCGTCCGCATACCATGAAAAGCAACGGTACCATAGGCCGACCGAGTGCCCAACATCCCTACCCTGCACGACACCCAACGGTGGGGGCCTAGAGAGTAGCACGTCGCCGCCCGCGCGAGCAAAGCCAACCGCAGCTGCCGACCACGTGAACGCGTGAACTAAAATTAGCAAAACAGAAACGAATGCCCTAAGCGACGCAGCAAGGGAAAAAAAACTGAACAAAAACCGCGGAGGAATAGCCGGAAGACGACGTAACCCCCCGACCCATACCCACCACCACCACAGCCCTACTACGCACAGCGCCCACCCTGTACGGAGCGACACGCCCAGAGAGCCTCCGCCCGCGCGGACAGATACTAGCCAACGCGGGCGAAAAACACCCTGGCACCCCTCCTCGCTCGAACCGGAACCACCAACGACCGAGGAAGGACACATCCCCCTCCCCAACACCCGGAGGAAGCGAGGCCCAGGCTGAGGTAAGGACTCGAGGAACTATACCAACGCCCACCCGCCTAACCGCGACACACAGCACATCACCCCCTACTCCCAAAGGAGCATGCTAGGCAACGGCACCCAGACGCCCAGCACCGCAAACAATAGCCCCTCCCTCCAACACGAGGAACCAAGGCGTGAGCGAGGCCCGTCGCCTGCCCCGGAACTGGAGATGCAGGACGCACCGCAGCACGCAGGCATGCCCGCCGCCGCCATACCCCGCACGAGCGCGCCCCCCTCCGGCGCTCCCCCTGCCAGCACGCCCCACACTGGAGGCGCTCCGTCTACAGCGGCACCCCCTACCGCCGGCGCGCCCGCCACCGGCGGAGCGACCCCCCCCACCGTGAACCCCTCCGCCACAAATCCGGTCGGCACGCAGGGCCCAAACGGGGAGAACGAGCAAGCCGACCAACACATGCAGGAT